AGCTCCATGGGTTCGGACTCGGAGATAAATGGGCTGGCCCTGCGCAAGACGGACAAGTATGGTTTCCTTGGGGGCAGCCAGTACTCAGGCAGCCTGTGAGTACACCGTGGACACCCCCCGTGGGGGCTGCCTGCGGAAGCTGGGGTGGGGGGAGGCGAGGTGATGAGCGCCTGGCCAGTCCTGACCCAGGGAGTCATTAGCAGGATCTGTAGTGCTCGGAGCATCCTGGGGCTTCTGTGACTTCAGAGTTGGGGAATCAGGGATCAAGGCAGTTATCTGGGTTTAAGCCTAGACCTTGCCTAGGTCTGTGTCCTTGAGCTAGTGGTGTCCCTGTTCCCGTGCCTCAGTTTCCCCTGTGGATTGAAGAGTTGAATGAGATGATACCTGCTAAGCTGCTAAGCTGCTAGCTGCTTGGTATGAAACTCTTGTTAACAAAAGGCCAAATATTCTGGAAGGTGGGTTGGACCAGGGTTCTGGGAGACACCCTGGGTCCCTGAGGGTCGGAAGGATGCAGGCACCTTCAAAAAGGCAGTAGGCAGAAGGGTGGGGGGAGGAAGTCTGGCTGATGGAGGAGAGGCCCCGAAGGCAGGGCTTCTGTGAGAGAGCAGCCTTGTATTTTCACTGAAGGAAAGGGATGGGGTGGCCTCTTCCCCATTTCCTCATCTCCCCTGCCCTAGTCGAACTTTCCTAGTTCCTTCCAGGGAGGGGCCTGAGTCACTCCTGAGGTGGGGGTGTGATCGCTCTGACTTCTTCCTTCCCCCTCTCTGGATCCTGACCATTGTTCCTGTGCTCTCTTAACCTGCTCCCTAGTCAGTAACCTGGTTAGTCAGTAACCTGGTTAGTTCAGCCTAGAGCATCGCCCAAGGACACCGCAGCCAGGCCTGTACTGAGCACGACTGAAGTAGTACTTTCAGGGAGTTCTGGAGGGAATGCCTAAGCAGTTAGTTTCAATATAGTTGGTTTCAATATAGTTAGCCTAGAGATCAGGGGGTTTTGTGAGCACCTGGATGTGAGAATTCTGCTGAAGAGGCTGTCAATCAGGAAGGTGGGTGGGAGTAATACAGGCAGGACTTATAAGCTAGCAAAACTCAGAAAACTTGATTGGGCATCAGCACTCACCGTCAGAACTCTGACTGACTGAAGTTTGGCCCTGGTCCTTTCTCCTGCACCTTTTTCAGCTTATAAGAAACAAAACCAGCACCCTTGAGTTGCCTCCCTCAAATAACGTGGCTCTGTGTGACCAGTGGACACTCCTCAGTACTAGTCAGAGGAAGGTGGTCAAATTCAGTTTTAGAATATTGCTCCTGTGTCAGGCACGGTGCTGGGTGCCGTTTCTCTCTCTCTGTAACTGTCACTTCAGAATCTGTCTTCCATGCAGAGGAACGACCTCCGAGACAAGGCTGATGGTAATAGACCAGCGCGAACACTCTTCCTCTTACAGGGCAAAGTCCAAGCTTTGTGTGCCAGGCTCTGTTCTAAGTCAGTAGTGGATTATTCAGGCCTATCCACCTGCCAGGAGTGCCCTTCTTCCCTCCTCTGCCTCCTAGTTTCTCTTCACTCTTTTTGGTACACTGCTGATGTCCTTTCCTCCAGGAAGCCTTCCCTGATACTGCCGTCCTCGTAATAACGATCTCTCATGTCACTGCACTTTTCGTGTCCTAGTGAACGTGCACACCCATTCTGTTTGTAAGATTTATCATGTATACAGAAGAGGGCTCCAGATCTGATTACAGATGGTTGTGAGCCACCATGTGGTTGCTGGGAATTGAACTCGGGACCTCTGGAAGAGCAGTTGGTGCTCTTAACCTCTGAGCCATCTCTCCAGCCCCTGTTTGTAAGATTTATCAAAGTTCTTGTGTAGATGGGTGTTTGGCCTGCACTCATGTCTGTGCACCATGTGCGTGCAGTACCCAAGGAGGCAAAGAGAGCTTCAGATCCTCTGGAACTGCAGTTTTTTTCTGGACCTTGGTTAGCTGCCATGTGAGTGCTAGGAACTGAATCCTGGTTCTCCCAGAGCATCCAGTGCTGTTCAAGCTGGGCCATCTCTCCAGTCCTTCCCTCCCTTTGTAAGTGCTGGTGTTCCTAAGGGCAGGAAAGGCCACTTACTCTTCCCAGCTCTGAGAGTGTGGAGCTGATTTCTGACAGAAATGAGAGATGACGTTTAGGGAGTATCTAGCACAAAGTAAATTAATACATGATGAGCTCATATTTAACAGTCTTTTTATGCTCTTTGCTTGGTTGGTTGGTTGGTTGGCTTTGTTTTTTGAGACAGGGTTTCTCTGTGCAGCCCTGGCTGTCCTGGAACTCACTCTGTAGACCAGGCTGGCCTCAAACTCATAGAGATCCACCTGCCTCTGCCTCCCCAGTGCTGGGATTAAAGGTGTGTGCCACCACCACCCAGTTTATGCATTTTTCTTACAGTCCTGGTGAGTATAGGTAGTGGCATCCTGTTTATAGCCGAGGACAACACCCAGGTCACTCACATGTCAGGACTTCCTAGCTGCTAAGGGGCAGAACTGGGTTTTGACTTAGTTTGTGGAATTTCTAAAACCCATGCTCGCTCGCTCGCTCTTCAATTTTGTCTCCTGGAACTGGTTCCTGTACGTAACCAGCCATTCCAGACAGATGGAGCTGACAGAACAGTATCAGGGCAGGAGCATTCATTTGCTTGGGAATCTGGGAAGGTTGCAAAGGGGGGGAGAGGAATCACAGATGGTCCAAGAAATCTCGTGTCTCATAGGCTAAAAACGAGAGGTCACTACGTGTACTAAGTGAGCCCCCGCTATAGGCAATTGAGAAGTCCTTTCGGGTAGATATTATTTTTCTCTACTTTACAAATGAGGAAACTGAGGCCTAGAGAAGTTAAGTGATTTGTTCAAGGTCACGCAATGGATAAATGGTAAAACTAGGACTTAGATCCAGATTTAATACAAAATGTGACTTATATTTAATTATTATTATTTTTGCAGTGCTGGGACTGAATTCAGGGCCCTTCACATGCAAGACAAGCACAGTTCCACTGAGCTACGTCGCTAGCCAGAATGTATCTTGTCAGTATTTACCAAAATTGGATATTTTAGAAATGGGATTTGAATTTTGTGTGTAAAGATCCAGTAGAAAAGGAAGCCTTTATAATGTGGTGGACAAGGCTTTAGATGGCCAAATATTCAGACTTTTGATCTCACACAATTTCTAGTTTTTCAGTTGAACCTGAGGGAACTGGCTGGCTCAGTTTCCCCAGTAGCCTGGGCTCTGTACTACTGCCACTGACCTCTTCCATACTTACTCTGATTCTGATTCTGATTCTGATTCTGATTCTGATTCTGCAGAGAGAGCTCTATTCCTGTGGATGTGGCTCGGCAGAGGGAGCTCAAATGGCTGGAAATGTTCAGTAACTGGGATAAGTGGCTGTCACGGCGTTTCCAGAAGGTTTGAGGGCTGTATGGTGGGTTGGGCAATGTGCAAGGGTGGGGGAGAGGCAGTGCTGGAAAGCCTAGGAAACTCTGCCCTCCTAACACATTGAAGATCAGTGGTGCTTTAGGCCTTGGAAGGAGGAGCTTTAAACTGTAGCCAGGCCAGGTCCAGCTTTGTCGCATCTGGCATGTGGGAGGAATGTCTCTGGGAGCCTGATGGCTGGTGGGGAAAGCTTGGAGAATGTTCCAGCCATGAAGCTGTCACCCTTGATGCTACTCTGCCTTAGGTAAAACTTCGCTGCCGGAAAGGGATCCCCTCATCTCTCAGAGCCAAGGCCTGGCAGTACCTGTCTAATAGCAAGGAACTTTTGGAGCAGAACCCGGGCAAGTTTGAGGTTTGTGCAACTCCAAGGTGTGGGGACACATGGCAATGTCTCTGTAGGAGAAATCAGTTCTTCCAGATCCTGAGGTAATCCCGGCTCTCCTATTGTAGGAGCTGGAACGGGCCCCTGGGGACCCCAAGTGGCTGGATGTGATTGAGAAGGACTTGCATCGCCAATTCCCTTTCCATGAAATGTTTGCTGCTCGAGGAGGGCATGGGTAAGAGCCTGACTGTGTGGGTCAGTTAGCAAACGTCTGTGAAGGTTCTGGGTAGACACAGGTAGATACAGGGCTTGGTCCAAGCAATTCTTGCCCTCTAGGGTTCTTATAAGACTGATTGTTAATCGGTTGAGTGTCAAGTAGTGTTAAGTGTCTAGGGAGATTCTAATGTGGCCTTTGTGTAGCACATCAAGGACTATTGAAGTTGTATTTGTGCTGGGTTTTAAAAGATAGTTGGGTCTAGGACAGGGTAGGATTTTCTTCCATGAGAAGTTCCATAAGCAGTGTCTGGACAGTGGGGTTTTATAGTGCTGAATCTGGAAGTTTGGGTCAGTTCACTAAGAGCCAAAGCACTTGGATTTTTGTTCTGTAGGTTAAGCTTCCTCAAGATGAAATATAGGTACCACTCCTTATTAGTATACAAGGTGATCTTATATGTTGTTATATGGCCTTTCTGTTGTGTTGGAGCTCATACTTAGGGCCTCTCATATGCTAGGCAAGTCTTCTACCTCTGAGCTATGTTCTCAGCCCTAGATGAACATTTTTCTTTCCTTATGTAATATAAAAAACAATATGTATGTATTGTTTGTTTTTTTCTTTGAGACAGGGTCTGACTATGTAGACCATACTGGCTTCAAAATCATATCTATCTCTGCCTCCCAAGTGCTAAGATTAAAAAGCATGCCACCACTACCATAGACAGTGTGAGGTGTTTTTTTTTTAATTAGAATGACCTTGAACTTGCTAGGTAGCCCAGAGTGATCTGAACTCAGTATTCTGCTGAAGTCTCCCAAGTGCTAGGATTATAGATATGTACCACCATGCCTAGCTTAAATAAACGGTCATCTTTTAACAAATAACAGTTGAGTACCTACTTCTGCCAAGCACTGTTCCAGTCACAGATGACAGCGATGGGCTAAACCCCAAATCCCTTTGTGTGGGAATAGACAGTCCCAGATGAAGGGGAGCGTGTGTGTGTGTGTGTGTGTGTGTGTGTGTGTGTGTGTGTGTGTGTGTGTGTGTGAAGTAGTGGAGAGGGGTCTGAAGTTCTGACGGAGGATGGAGATCGTGTGGGTTACATGAACAGTCAGTGTGAGAGACTTGCTACTTGCTAGTAAAGATCAGAGAATTGCGGGGACAGGTAGGTTTGGGGTTACGTCAGTAGTTTAAGAGTCAGACCTGGTAGCTCATGCCTGTAGTCTCAGGTACTTAGGCAGACTTTTATGTGTTGGGGTGGGAGTTGGGTATCAAATCAACACTTAGGAAGCCGAGGCAGGAAGATTGCCATGAATTTAAGGCCAGTCTTACATCTTGAGTTCCAGGACAGTTTGGCTAGAGTAAGAGTCTGTCTCAAACTAGGAGGGGGTTGCTTATTGGACATCCAGGGCATGTACCAAAATCCAGGTACCCAATAAATTATAAGTCTGAATTTCAGGAAAATAGTTTAAATTGGCAATAAATTGGGAATTGAAAGTGTGCTTATGGAGGGATTCGACTCCCCCATGGAACAAGATGAGGTCACAGAGCCACAAGTATAGACTCAAAAGGAAGATGTGACCTGGTGTGGTGGGCACACCTTCTAATTCCAGTACTGGGTAGGCAAAGGCAGGTGGATCCAGTCTATAACATAGTGAGTCTTAGGCCAGCCAGGCATGCATAGCGAGACCTGTCTCAAAAAAAAAAAAAGGAAGGTAAGCAAGCAAGCTTGAGCCCTGAAGTACTAATGCTTTGCGGGTGAGACGATGAACACAATGACAGAGGACACCAGGGCCAGAAGGGAGAGTCTGACTCTGAAAGAAAGTGAAGAGGAGCCTCAAGGACCCACTGCAGGAAATGGTGCTGAGGGATGAGGACATCAAATCTGAGAATTAGTCAGTTAGTTTGGACGTGACACTGTATAAGTCATTAGTGACTTTTTTTTGAGACAGTCTTGCATTTATAGCTGAGCTAGCCTCATAGTTCCAGAAATCTTCAGCCTGCCTCAGCCTCTTGAGTCCTGGAGTTAAAGGTGTGAGCCACTCCAGCTGGCTTCTTAATGATTTGATAAAGAAACTTTTGGGGAGCAGTAGGCGAATGCCTGAGGAAAGTACAGGAGGAGGAGAAGGACACAGGACAGTGAGTGTAGTTCCTAGAGCTGCTTGGCTGACTAGGTAAGGAGAGAAAGTGTGTTCCTTGGGGGGAGAGTGGGATGAAGGGACATAAGAGTGAGGGTCAGTGAGGAGGCTGAGTGGATAAAGGCACTTGATTTACAAGCCTGACAACCTCAGTAAGAAAAAAAAAGAAGAAACAGCAGGCCTGGACATGTAGCTTAGTGATTGAATGCTTGCCTAGCATGCACAAAGCCCTGGGTTCAAACCTAGAGCTGCAGAAGAAATAATTTGAAAAGCAGATTACTACTATGCTGATGGGAATGATTTAATAGAAAAATGGATAAAGCAGAAAAGAGGGCACACTCACAGCAGAAAGGAAGGCTGGGATCTAGTCATAGGCAGAAGGGTGCATATGGTGGAGGCTACATTTGTGTATGTTTGGTGCCAGAGGATGTCAGAAGAGGTGTGGGATCATCTGGAACTGGAATTACAGATGGTTGTGAGTCACCATGGATGTGGGTACTGGGAGCTGAACTTGGGTCCTCTGCAAGAGCAAAAAGTGCTTTTTAACTACTGAGCCCTTTCTCTAACTACAGTATTTTGTTAGTGTTAGTTTGGTATAGATTACTTTTACTATGTATCAGGTAAAATAATCAGCATCATCAAATACGTTATTTCATTAGAACTTTTGCGAAGTAAATACAAAGTAAGTAAATAGGGCGGGAATGTAGCTCATCCAGTAGAGTGCTTGTCTAGCATGCACGAAGCTCTGAGTGATTTTCAGCACCACAGAAAACTAAGTGTGATGGTCCATATCTTTAATCCTGGTACTAGAGAGATGGAGGCAGGAGGATCAGGATTCAGGACCATTTTTGGGTACAAAGGGTTAGAACCCAGCAAGGGCTACGTGAAACCCCACCTCAAAAAATTTTTAAAGTAATAGTGATGTAGTTGCAGATAAGACATAAACGACTGGATTTGGGGTGGTGCTAAAATAAGCAGTATTAGCATTATGACTGGAAGCAGGGAGATCTGGGAGGTCCATAGATATTTTGACTTTGAGATAGAAGTCAGAGAAGAAGCTATGGAGGGGAAGAGAACAGATGTCACTGAAGTTCAGGATACAGTATGGCTCAGACTTGGTAGCTGCCCTCTGGGAAGCTGCTCTGGAGTAGATGGAACTATTAGATATGATGGAACTCAGCAGAGGAAAGAAGGGCTGGAGCACAGATCTGGTTCAGTCCAGAGATAAGAGAAGATGTGAAGTCCAGCTGGTTTCCTGGCCTTCACCAAGAACCAGGATTCTCTGACATGCTGGGAGGTCTGATGAAATCCAGTGAAACAGATAACCCTGTTGATTGCCTGCCCTGGGTTCCAGAGAAGGGCTGATACTGTGGCTATTGACAGGTCCCTGGAGAATGTGACCGTGATTGCTTTGGGGGTGGGTGCAGAGGAGAAGGAAATGGGTAGGAAGTTTATGGGGTGTGCAGCCCAGGGTAAAAGGCTAGGGCCTAGTGGTGGGCAGGTCTGGGAAGACAGCGGCTAAGTGGTGGTAAAGCTCCATAGACTAACTGGGGACTTGCTGTGAGGGTTTGGGTCCAGTTTGGGGCGGGTGTGACGGCTGCCATCTCGTCACTCACTTAGGCAACAGGACCTGTACCGCATCCTGAAGGCCTACACCATCTACAGGCCTGATGAGGGTTACTGCCAGGCCCAGGCCCCCGTGGCTGCAGTCCTGCTCATGCACATGCCTGCTGAGGTCAGCGTGTGGACCTGGGGGCGGGGGTGGGATGGGAGGGCTGCCTCCTCCCCGCTTCTCAGGCCCCATCCCTGCCTCCTTGTTCTTGCCCTTCGCAGCAAGCCTTCTGGTGCCTGGTACAGATCTGCGACAAGTACCTCCCAGGTTACTACAGTGCGGGGCTGGTGAGTGTCGGGAAGCTGGGTGTGCTGGGCTCTGACTCCCCACGGCTGCCCTAGGGCCTTGCCTTGCCTCATTTGTCCTGTTCCTCTACCACTGAGGCTCAGCCACCCTCTTAGGTTTCATTGTGCCCCGAGGGAACTTAGCAAGATGTTTCTCATTGCTCTTCCCACCACTTCTAGGAGGCCATTCAGTTGGACGGAGAAATCTTTTTTGCGCTCCTGCGCCGGGCTTCCCCGCTGGCACATCGGCATCTCCGGCGGCAGCGCATTGACCCCGTGCTCTACATGACAGAATGGTTCATGTGCATCTTTGCCCGCACCCTCCCCTGGGCTTCAGTGCTGCGTGTCTGGGACATGTTTTTCTGTGAAGGTATTTCAGTGGCCTCCTACGCTGAGGGGGGCTAGGATTTGTCACTTTATTGGTAGCCCATGGACAAAAGTATTGTTGGGCCCAAGCTTCAGAATACGCAGTCTGCAGGCAGGAAAAACAGGACCCGTCTTGATTCAAGCCGCCAGCCTAGAGTCTGCTTGCGCTCTAGAAACCTGCAACCTGTAGCAGCTTCCTTCACCTGTAAGGCGGGCAGTCAACAGCAGCAGGGACTGTCTTCTCTACATGAGACAGGCTGAGGTCCTGGACCTGATCTCTCTTTGCGCCCCTCTGACCCTGTAGGCGTTAAGATCATCTTCCGAGTGGCTCTGGTCTTGCTGAGACACACTTTGGGTACTGTGGAGAAGCTTCGTTCCTGTCAAGGCATGTATGAGACCATGGAGCAGCTTCGAAACCTGCCACAACAGTGCATGCAGGAGGACTTCCTGGTGCATGAGGTAGGCCTTGGCCTCAGCACCCCTTGATCCGCCTCAGCCCATACCCACACCCGTCTATACTCTGGCTCCCATGTCTTCTGTCTAGGTAACCAACCTCCCAGTGACAGAAACATTGATTGAGCGAGAGAATGCAGCCCAGCTGAAGAAGTGGCGGGAGACCAGGGGAGAGCTACAGTACCGGCCCTCACGGCGACTGCACGGCTCCCGAGCCATCCACGAGGAGCGCAGGCGGCAGCAGCCACCCCTGGGCCCTTCCTCCAGCCTCCTCAGCCTCCCTAGTCTTAAGAGCAGAGGCTCCCGTGCAGCTGGAGGGGCTCCTTCCCCACCACCTCCTGTCCGCAGGGCGAGTGCCGGCCCCGTCCCTGGGGCCGTCGTCACTGCTGAGGGACTGCATCCGTCACTTCCTTCGCCCACTGGCAACAGCACCCCACTAGGCACCAGCAAGGAGGCACGGCGGCAGGAGAAAGAGCGGCAGAAACAGGAGAAAGAGCGAGAGAAGGAGCGGCAGCGTCAGGAGAAGGAGCGGCAGAAGTGGGAAAAGGAGCAGGAGAAGGAGCAGCAGAAGCAGGAGAAGGAGCGGCAGAAACAGGAGAAGAAGGGCCGGAAACTTTCCCTGCGTCGAAAGGCAGATGGCCCTCCTGCACCCCATGATGGTGGGGACAGGTCTGAGTCTGCGTCTGAAGCCCGGCAGGATGCTTACTTCTGACCTCTTGCTGGGTCGGGATGACATGGCCTGGCAGGGGTGTTCTCCCAGCTCCCTTGGCAGGCTCTTCCTTTTTCTGAGGAAAGTGGCTTGATTCCCCCTGACTCCTTGCCAGCTGCTGATCCTACATGGCCAGGACAGCCACAGTGCATGGGACAGCTATATTTCCTAGGGTAGCAGTGACCAAGTCTGGAGACTCTTCGTCCACTTAGGCCCAGCTTGGGTCTCTGTCAGGCCTACGAATTCCTTCTGGGGTGCTGCCTTCATTTGCCGTTTGTCACAGGGCTGACTCTTGGCAATGACAGTTAGCAGTTGCGGATTCTTACACTCCAGTGGCTTCCCTTAGATGGTGGAGCTAGGTTCCTTTTCCTGTCTTGGGGCCCTGCCTGTCACCCCACTGTCTTTCTGGGTGCCAAGGCTGTTTTCTCTCTCCTGGATATCCTTGTGTTGTAATTATGTACAGAAGGTCAGGTTGGCCTGGGGTGGAGTGCTCTGACCTGTGTTCCACAGTGCTCCAGTTTATTTAAGGGGACATGCAAGGAAATGTCCTCCATTTCCTTTCCACCTGTGTCCTGCTCTCCTCCTAATCCACTTGCTTTGTATGCTCAGGCCTCTCTGCTGCCTCATCAGGAAGCCTGTCTCATTTTGTCCCTTTCCAGCCATCAAGCCCCTCTCTGAGTAAGGGTCTTCCCTTGAGTCCAGGGGTGGAACCCAATGTTTACATTCTCTTCTGTCTTGGTCCCATCCCAGTGGTGGTTTTGTGGCGCTTTGAGGAACCGGAAAAAGAACCTGCTGTTATACCTGGAACTGTCTCCTGCCTTGTTATTTAAAGAGGGCTTTGGAGCCGGGCGGTGGTGGCGGCGGCGGCGCACGCCTTTAATCCCAGCACTCGGGAGGCAGAGCCAGGCGGATCTCTGCGAGTTCGAGGCCAGCCTGGGTTACCAAGTGAGTTCCAGGAAAGGCGCAAAGCTACGCAGAGAAACCCTGTCTCGAAAAAACCAAAAAATAAATAAATAAATAAATAAATAAATAAAAAAATAAAGAGGGCTTTGGGGTAAGGGGAGCCAGGAAGAAAGTCTGAGTCTCCATAAGTGCAGTCTGCTGACCTTAGCAGGTACATCTAGACCCTTGCTCCATCTCTGATCGACAAGCATAGTGGTCCACCTCCTGCCTCAGCTTTGAGATCTGCTGCCTCAACTATCACTGGTTTCCTGGGACAGCTCAAAGCACTGGGATCTCCTTTCCGACATGCTTGTGCAACTCCTAGAAGCTGAAGGGGGCTGCAAACCCAGTCTTCAGACTGCGCTAAGCTCTTGGTCAGCGGCTTGGCACAGTTCCTGGTACTGCATTAGAAATTAGGGTGGACTAGCTGCCTTCAGTTCATCTCAGCAGGTGCTTTTTGTGGCTACCTTGTGCCCCCCACCCACCCTTCTGCCCAGGGGTCAGGATAGTAACGGCATGGGGTTCTGCGGCCCTGAGGTGGAGCTCCTCTTGGCAGTTCTTCAGCAGGAGGAGGCCCGGGTGTGTGGTCTCCAGGTAGAAGAGGAAGTTCCCTCCCGGATGAACCAGCAGTGCTGAGAGCTGGTGTTTCAGGCTCCTTAGCAAGATGTCCTGGTCGAGGACCTGTGTTCTGTGCTCATGCAAGAAACTGAGGACACATTTCCAGTGAAATTTCATGGTGATTCAGAATGGAGAAAATCCTGGAGGAGAAAGGTGTGGTCCGTCTGGCCACCCTCATCTAGCTCCTGCAGGATCACCTGAGCTAGCTAGCCTGGGGGTGGAGGTGTTCTGGCTCTGAGTCGTTCCCAAGAGCTCCATATCTAGACCTCCCTCTACGGGGAAGACCTCACCTGGCTCCACCTCTGGCGGAGCCGGATTCCATCACCTCGCAGTTTGCTCAAGGGTGGGGTAGGCTTCACTTTGCAATTAGTTCAAGAGCTTTTCTGGGTGTACCTGAGAGCAGGACATTGGGTTTCTGGCTGAGTGCAGGGCACCAGTGTCAGTGCCACCTCTTGTGATGGCTGTTCCGCTGCAGAAACCAGGAATTGAGTAGGGAACAGACTTGCAGCAAATGACTTCCTGGGTCCTAAAAGGAGCTGGGTCTGGAAAGTGCCCAAGTGCTGACAATCAGAAACAGCACGCAGGAAGAAAAGGATTTTTCTTTAAAGAGTCTCACGTTGTGTCCCCGTTGGGCTCAATCTCGCGACAATCAATGCTGCCTCTCTTTCCCGAGGGCTGGGACTGTGTCAAGCTTGCAGAGCCGGGTTTCTCCTGAACGCCGCTGGGCGCAAAGAACCCACCTATAACGTCAAGCTGGAGCCACAGCCTCGGCTCGGCCTTGGTCCTCTCCCCCCCAGGCCTTCGCCACCTCTTTAAGCAGACAGCGACACGTCCCCACCAGAGCCCGCACTGCAGAGGAATAACAAACACTTCCCGCCATCCTCAAAGCCCGGGGAGGCAGGTATACAAGAGTTCACGCGAGTCTTCTTTCGACCTTACGTCACTTCCTGCGGAGACTGCCCCGGCTAAAGGTACACATCCGCCTGTTCCGACAGTCTTTTGGATAGGAGTGAAGCCACTTCCGGCCCTCATGGCGTCCTCCATAATCTCCTTCCGGGTGGTGGAGGCGAGCGCCCCGGATGTAATACTGGCGAAAGCATCTTTCCTTTTCTTCCCCGCCTGACCCTGGGTTCCTAGGTGAGCACCGGTCGGCAAGCCTGTTCGAATCCCTGCGGATTTGCGTCCTCCTTAACCTGTACGCCGACTCCAACATGGTCGGGCAGTCGCTGCGTGGAACTGAGGGCTCGAAGCGCCTGGGGCGCCAGCTCTGGGGTCCGCCCGGCCTCAGGGCACTCGGGTGGGCGGGCTGGCCGAGTTCTGGACTCCGGGCGGGTGGCAGTGGTGACGCCGGGGGAGCCTGGCCCTCTCCTGGGTGGGCGTACCCACGGGTCCACGCGGGGCGGAGATCCTTCGCGTCCCCTCCTTTGCGCGGCTCTGAGTGCCACACCGGTTCCAGGCGCCCTGCCTGCAGCTCCCCTTTCAGGTGGTTTATTGTTGTTCTTGGTGCCTAGGCGCTCTCGCGGCCGGCTCTCCTTACCCAGTTTCCTGACTCCATCCGTATCTTTATCCGAGGTCCCGCTGGAGGAAGGGTTCCGTCAGTCATGCCAAAGAGGAAAGTGACTTTTCAAGGTGTGGGAGATGAGGATGATGAAGATGAAATCAGTGTCGCCAAAAAGAAGGTGAGATGGTCAGACTCCTAAGTTCTGTGGAGGACTGAGGGGAAATAAGAGGGAGGAGTCTGCTGGGAGGAAAGCCTAGAGAGGAAATAGAGGGTTAGTTTTCCCTGGTGCACTGGGTTTGGGAGGTTTCCAGCCTGGGTACCGATCCTGGAATATTTGGGAAACTAGCCAGTCGATTGAATTTCTCATTTGCTGCTTCCTCCTCACAGCTGGTGGACCCTGTGGCTGGAGCAGGGGGTCCTGGGAGCCGCTTCAAAGGCAAACACTCTTTGGACAGTGACGAGGAGGATGATGATGAGGAGGGGTCCAGCAAGTACGATATCCTGGCCTCCGAGGATGTAGAAGGTGAGCTGTTCCCAAAGCGTTAGCTGTGCTGGAGGGACAAGTCTGAATGTTGGAGGCGGGAGGCGGGCCTGCTTCTTTTTTGCCTGCCTAGCATGGGGTCCCCGTGTCTTGGTTGCAGGTCAGGAAGCAGCTACTCTCCCTAGTGAGGGAGGTGTGAGGATCACACCCTTCAACCTACAGGAAGAGATGGAGGAAGGCCACTTTGACGCCGACGGCAACTACTTCCTGAACCAGGATGCGCAGATCCGAGACAGCTGGTTGGACAACATTGACTGGGTGTGGCCCAGGGGCCGGGAACGGAGGTGCTGGGCCTGGGCCCTGGTGGAAGTTTTGTGGGAAATACTAATTATCTTTCCCTTGTAGGTGAGGATCAAGGAGCGGCCACCTGACAAGCACCAGGTGTCAGACTCGGAGGAGGAAGACAGCCTGGGTCAGACTCCAATGAGTGCCCAGGCCCTCCTGGAGGGACTGTTGGAGCTGCTGTTGCCAAGAGAGACAGTAGCCGGAGCTCTTAGACGCCTGGGGGCCCGAGGAGGGGGCAAAGGGGACAGCAAGGGGACCGGGCGGCCCAGCTCCCCACAGCGCCTGGACCGGCTCTCGGGGTTGGCCGATCAAATGGTGGCCCGAGGCAACCTCGGCGTATACCAGGAGACAAGGGAACGGCTGGCCATGCGACTGAAGGGCTTGGGGTGTCGGACCCAGGGCTCCCACGACCCCACGCCTCCACCCTCCCTGGACATGTTTGCCGAGGAAGTGACCGAGGGGGAGCTGGAAACCCCAACCCCTGCCCATAAAGGAGGTAAGTTTGGCGGGCAGAGGAGGGGGCCGTGTGGTCAGGAGACCGGGCGCCTGAGGCCCAAGTACCGTTGTTGTTTTAGAAGCAGAGTCGGTGGGAGATGGTCTGATGGATGTGATGTGGGAGTACAAGTGGGAGAATACGGGGGACGCAGAGCTGTACGGACCGTTCACCAGCGCCCAGATGCAGGTAGGCCCCTCCTCCTTCTCCATCCTCCTCCGCCCTCCCCCGCGCCTGTCACCTTTCCTCAGCTTGGTCCTCTCTTCCTGCAGACTTGGGTGAGTGAAGGCTACTTCCCCGATGGTGTCTATTGCCGGAAGCTGGACCCTCCAGGCGGTCAGTTCTACAATTCCAAACGCATTGACTTTGATCTCTACACATGAGCCTCCCAAGGGCCCAGCATGGCAGCCCTCTCTTTCTCGGACTTGCCAGAGGAGGCCCCAGCTGCCCTGGGCAGTGAGGATCTTGGAAGCTACTTTTCAGCCAGTTTCCCTTTCCCAATAAAAGCCTGAGTGTGCATCAGGGCCTGGACTGTGCTGATAGCCAGAAGCTGGGGCTCTTCACAGCTCCTGTTGGCCTCACCTGGTCCTGAGTGTTTCCTCCCAAGAGACTGCCTCAGGTGCTTCTCTGGTGTCTTGGACCACCTCAGATGTTTTCCCGCCTTGGCAGTGGTAGGGCCGGTCGGGTGCCCTGTGACTTGTCATGTTAAGTTCCCTTCACTCTGTTCTCCCGTATCCCCTGCAAGTCCTTGGTCTGCTGACCTTTGGCCTTTAGGACCTCCGGTTCTCTGGCCTGGCGGCCCCCTTGCTCGTAACTGGAACATTTGAGGGAGTTTGGGATCCTATCGGCAGTGCACAGGAGCCTCTTAAACATGGGTTCTCCTCTCCCAGTCTGAGTTTTGTGGCCCTTGCAGTAGTTCCCGCAGCTCGTAGGTAAAGTATGAACTTAGTAGTCCTCCAGAGCCACTTGGGCCACCATGCACAGAGGGCCAGTGACTTCCTGGAGGTCACAGAGTAAATTAGGGAGCTGGCCCAGACCCAGTGAGCTGCTTCCCCTGACCTTTCTCGGCAGAAAGCTTTGCTTCCTTGGCCTCTCAGGCCCTGCAGCTTACATTTTCTGGGCTCCCACATCTCGGGTGTAGGGCTGGTGCCTTGAGGAAACATCCCTGGACTCTTGTCCTGCCAGGAAGCGGAGTGCAGTGGAGGGCTGTGGGACAGACAGGGACCTAACAACAGTACTTCACACGCACATGCACACGCACACGCACACGCACACGCACACCCAGGGTGCTCTGTGCCCACCTCCCCTGTACACGAGAGGTACCCTGAGAGCTACAGACTAGCAGGACCAGGCTAGGAACTTGGAGAATAGGGGCTTTGGCTTGGTTGGGGCTGCTTGATGCAGAGACCTCCGACTTCTGTAACAATTAGGCCCTGTGTACTGCCAGCCTAGACCACAGTGTCTTTGACTTCGAGAAGCCCATTAGTGGTGAGCCATCTCTTAATGTTAGTGTAAGGTGTTACTGGTTAAAGGATGGACTTGCTTTCCGGATAGTAGAAGGGAAAAGCTGGTGTCTAGGGATGGGTGAAATCCTGCCGTGTCCGTAGCCCGAGTGAGTTCACAAGTGTTGGGTGAGATGGACACCAAGTGCTTTCCCTAGGTGTCCTCCAGGTTCCTCAGATTTGACCGGTCTGAGCTGATTTCTTCCCCTTAACTGCTTTCTGAGTGCATTCGCTGTTGACATCCATGAGGGGGCAGAATATCAATCCCTAAGATACCCACTCCTGACCCCAGACCCTGTGAATATCACGTTACGCTTTATGTGGCAGAGGGAAGGGGGCTGTGCAGGTTTGGTGAAGTTGATTTTTTTTTCCTTAAATTTTTTGAGGTGGGGGTCTCACTGTGTAGCCCTGGCTGACCTGGAACTCACAAGAGATCTACCTGCCTCCACCTACTAAGTGTTGAGATTAAAGGTGTGAGCCACATGCTGAACAAAATTGAGAATCCTTGAAACCAGGAGATTACCTTTGATTATTGGGTTGGGACCATTGTAGTCACTGGGTCCTTATGCTGGAAAAGGAACTGAGAGACTCCCAGCAAAAGAGCAGAGGACTATGTCTGAAGGATGGAAGAGAGGAGTGTGTGTCAGGGTGGAGAAACGGAAAATACAGAAGATGGGTTCTTCTCAGGCGAGTGCAGTGCAGCAGTGATAAACCAACTTTGGACTTGTAACCTCCAGAATTGTAAGATAATAAATCTGTGGTAAGCCACTTGAGTTGTGGTCATTTGATAAAGCACCAGTGGGAGATGAATACACACCTACTTGGGGGAGCCACGACTGTAGATGTAACCAATCGTCTTATTAAAATAAGAAACACAGAGCCAATGTAAAAGAGAAAGCCGAGAGGTCAGAGCTCAGAGATAAAATCTTACCTCCTGCAGTGCTCCTAGCTTCCCCGAGAGAGAGCTTCTTCCTGTTTGTCTGTCTTTAAATAGTTCTGCCTTCTCATTGGTTGTAAACCCAACCACATGACTGCCTTGTCACTGCCTGTAAGTACCGCCCTCCAGATCTTAAAGGCGTATGTCTCCAATACTGGCTGTATCCCTGAACACATAGAAATCTACCTAGCTCTTCTAACCACCACTCTCTTGTTATGGCTCTAATAGCTCTGACCCCAGGGCAACTTTATTAACATAAAATTAAAATCACATTTCAGTACAAATAAAATATCACCATACACGACCACCTTGGAATCCTATTAGTGCCTCACCACAGAGGTCTTGGTAGTTCTCCCATCTAAGCACCAGCCAGGCCCAGCCCCGCTTAGCTTTGGGATTGGACACAACATTCAAAGTGGAATGACCATGGACTCTCTCAGCACAAAGCCAGTAATTGTTTGAGTGGGTTTTGGTTTTGTGTTGTTTAGTTTTTTTGAGACAGGGTCTCTCTATACTCTGGCTGTCCTGGATTTCACTATGTAGACAGGTTAGTCTTGAACTTACAGAGATCCACCTGTCTCTGCTTCCCAAGTGCTAGGTAAATTCCCTCCCTCCCAAATAATAAAACTACAATGTAGTAAAAAAAAAAAAAAGGGGGGGGGGGGGTAGAGAGATGCCTGGGCAGTTAAAAGGACCAAGGTTTGATGCTTAGTACTTAGACATTGACTCACAGTCGTCTAAAGTGGGTTCCAGGGAATGTCATGCTCTCTAGCTTCTGCAGGCATGAGGCACATATGTGGTACAGACAACATGTAGGCAAATCACCCATACACATAATATTAAAAAAATTGTTTAATTAAAACAACTGAGCCGTTTGACTTTAGCTGACGACTCCTTCTCTAGCCCTGGCGGCCTCCGCCAACACCGTCTCTAGATTTGTGGGTGTTTTGGATAAATGGAACCATACAGTGTATGATCTCTCTCGCTTCTTATACCTGTTTTTAGAGTTTATGCATGGTGTAGTATGTAACTTGATTTATTTATTTATTTTTGGATGGGTTTCTCTGTGTAGCTCTGGCTAGCCTGGAACTCACTCTGTAGACCAAGGCTCCGCCACCACGGCAGCCCCAGTACTTCGTTCTTTGTTGTTTGGATGGATGGCAGGTTACTATTACCTAGGCTTCACGTTTTATTTGGATTTTACTGGTTTTCCCCTACAGTCCTGTATTTTTATTCTTGAATGTGATGCAAGAGATGGAACCCAGGACTTTAAAAAAAAAAAAAAAAAACATTAATTAATTGAGGATTTCATACAATATGTTTTAGTTATATTCATTTCCCTTCTCCAATGCCTCTCATAGCCAGCTTTATTCCCTCCTCACCCAAATTTGACCACCCACCCAATCAAGTCCAGCTAGTGTTGCCCACTCTGCAGTGGAGTGGACCCAGGGATTTGCATCTGCTGGGCAAACATTCTACCACCGAGGAGTTGCCCAGCCCAGTTGTGGGTTTGCCCTTTTGGTGTGGGGAGGGGTTTGGGAGAATTCTAGTCAAGGCTTTGTGTTAAGCAACTGCTTTACCACTGAGCAACATCCCTAACCCTTAACCGTATTTTAACACTTACATTTATTTGTGTGTGCACACTCACACGCGTCATGTTGTACATGTGGAGGAGAGGATGGGAGTCACGTGGGTCCGGGGATTGATCAGGTGGTTTGGCTTCATAGCAAATACCTTTACCAGCCGAACCATCTCCCGGCCCCCGTTATAAAAATGTTGTATTCCTCAGTGCCCAGGCTGCCCTTGAATGACTTCCTGTCTCACCCCCTTGACTGCTGGAGTTAGGAGGTGGGTTTCTTTTCTTTTTTTTATTTAACACTGTTAATGGCTGCCTACTGCTCTTGAGATAAAGTCCCAAAGCTAGAAGCTGCTTGAGAAAGTCTTCCGGAAGTGCGTCACTGTGGGGCGGGCTTTGAGGATACAACCCGGTGTCTCGGTTGACTTCCTATCGCCAGCACCATGTCTGCCTACTCTGCCATGCTCCCTGCCTTGAAGATAATGGACCGAACCTCTGAAACTATAGGTGAGTTTTATCCCTATTAAATGTTTTCCCTTATAAGCGTTATCATGGTCATGGTGTCTCTTCATAGCAATAAAAACCCTAACTAAGAAAGCAGTTAGGGTAACATAAAAGAATGCAACGGCAGGTAGGCCTGCAGCGGCGGCCCGCGGAGGTAGAAGGGCCCAGCAACAGCCCGCTGAGGTAGACGTGCCCAGCAGCGACAGCCTACAGGGATATTCAGGCCCGGAGGCAGCCGGCAGAGACATTCAGTCCCAGCGGCGGCCCACGGAGGTAGACAGGCCCGGCAGCAGAGACAAGCAGACGCAGGTAGGCCTGCGGCGGGGGGCCCGTGGAGGTAGACGGGCCCAGCGGCGGCAGCCGACAGGGATATTCAGACCCAGCGGCAGCCGGCAGAGACATTCAGGCCCAGCGGCGGCCCACAGAAGGAGACGGGCCCAGCGGCGGCCCGCTGAGGTAAACGGGCCCGGCAGCAGTGGCCGACAGGGACATTCAGGCCCGGCAGCAGCCGACAGAGACATTCAGGCCCAGCGGCGGCCCACAGAGGTAGACAGGCCCGGCGGCAGAGACAAGCAGACACAGGTAGGCCTGCGGCGGCGGCGGCCCGCGGAGGTAGACGGGCCCAGCAGCAGCCCGCTGAGGTAGACGGGCCCAGCGGCGGCAGCCGACAGAGATATTCAGGCCCGGCGGCAGCCGGCAGAGACATTCAGGCCCAGCAGCGGCCCACAGAGGTAGACAGGCCCGGTGGCGAAGACAAGCAGATGCAGGTAGGCCTGTGGCGGCGGCCTG